GACAGAGAGAGAGACACACACAGAATCCAAAGCAGACTCTGGGCCCTGAGCTGTCAGCACAGAGCCCAACACAAGGCTCGAATTCATGAACTTTGAGATCATGACCTGAGCCGAAGTGGGCTCAACCGACTGAGCCACCCAGGCGCCCCACATTTGCCCAACTTTAAAAAGCTAAAGTGGGTAATGCTGAATAGGAATAAGAAAAACAGTGTGTGAGAATTGTATGAGTTTCGTTTATGACTAATTTAGGAACCATGTGTTCTTCATATGATTGTGTTTTGAATTCTTACAATCAGTTCCTATAGGATTGTGCTTAATTAGAGGCAGTTTGGGTTTTTTTTAATGTTTTATTTTATTTTACTTTTTTAATTTACATCCAAATTAGCATATAGTGCAACAATGATTTCAGGAGTAGATTCCTTAATGCCCCTTACCCATTTAGCCCATCCCCCCTCCCGCAACCCTTCCAGTAACACTCTGTTTGTTCTCCATAGTTAAGAGTCTCTTATGTTTTGTCCCCCTCCCTGTTTTTATATTATTTTTGCTTCCCTTCCCTTATGTTCATCTGTTTTGTCTCTTAAAGTCCTCACGAGTGAAGTCATATGATATTTGTCTTTCTCTGACTAATTTCGCTTAGTTCCATCCACGTAGTTCCATCCACCCTCTAGTTCCGTCCACATAGTTGCAAATGGTAAGATTTCATTCTTTTTGATTGCTGAATGGTATTCCATTGTATATATGTACCACATCTTCTTTATCCATTCATCCATCAATGGACATTTGGGCTCTTTCCATACTTTGGCTATTGTTGATAGTGCTGCTATAAACATTAGGGGGTGTGTGTTCCTTCGAAACAGCACACCTGTATCCCGTGGATAAATGCCTAGTAGTGCAACTGCTGAGTCGTAGGGTAGTTCTATTTTTAGTTTTTTGAGGAACCTCCATACTGTTTTCCAGAGTGGCTGCACCAGCCTGCATTCCCACCAATAATGCAAAAGAGATCCTCTCTCTCTGCATCCTGGCCAACATCTGTTGTTGCCTGAGTTGTTCATGTTAGCCATTCTGACAGGTGTGAGGCGGTATCTCCTTGTGGTTTTGATTTGCATTTCCCTGATGATGAGTGATGTTGAGCATTTTTTCATGTGCCGGTTGGCCATCTGGATGTCTTCTCTGGAGAAGTGTCTCTTCATGTCTTTTGCCCATTTCTTCACTGGATTATTTGTTTTTTGGATGTTGAGTTTGATAAGTTCTTTACAGATTTTGGATACTAACCCCTTATCTGATATGTTGTTTGCAACTATCTTCTGCCATTCCATGGGTTGCCTTTTAGTTTTGCTGATTGTTTCCTTCGCTATGCAGAAGGTTTTTATTTTGATGAGGTCCCAGTAGTTCATGTTTCTTTTGTTTCCCTTGCCTCTGGAGACGTGTTGAGTAAGAAGTTTCTGTGGCCATGATCAAAGAGGTTTTTGCCTGCCTTCTCCTGGAGGATTTTGATGGCTTCCTGTCTTATGTTTAGGTCTTTCATCCATTTTGAGTTTATTTTTGTGTATGGTGTAAGAAAGTGGTCCAGGTTCATTCTTCTGCATGTCGCTGTCCAGTTTTCCCAGCACCACTTGCTGAAGAGACTGTCTTTATTCTATTGGATATTCTTCCCTGCTTTGTCAAAGACTAGTTGGCCATATGTTTGTGGGTCCATTTCTGGGTTCTCTATTCTGTTCCATTGATCTGAGTGTCTGTTTGTGTCAGTACCATACTGTCTTGACGAATACAGCTTTGTAATACAGCTTGAAGTCTATGACGGTGATGCCTCCTGCTTTGGTTTTCTTTTTCAAGATTGCTTTGGCTATTCAGGGTCTTTTCTGGTCCCATACAAATTTTAGGATTGTTTGTTCTAGCTCTGTGAAGAATGCTGGTGTTGTTTTCATAGGGATTGCATTGACTATGTAGATTGCTTTGGGTAGTATTGACACTTTAACAATATTTGTTCTTCCCATCCAGGAGCATGGAATATTTTTCCATTTTTTTGTGTGTCTTTTTCAATTTGTTTCATAAGCTTTCTATAGTTTTCAGTGTATAGATTTTTCACCTCTTTGGTTAGATTTATTCCTAGATATTTTATGGTTTTTGGTGTGATTGTAAATGGGACTGATTCCTTGATTTCTCTTTCTATTGTTTCATTGTTGGTGTATAGGAATGCAACTGATTTCTGTGCATTGATTTTATGTCCTGCAACTTTGCTGAATTCATGGATCAGTCCTAGCAGGGGTTTTTTGGTGGAATCTTTTGGGGTTCCATATAGAGCATCATGTCATCTGTAAATAGTGAAAGTTTGACCTCCTCCTGGCCGATTTGGATGCCTTTTATTTCTTTGTGTTGTCTGATTGCTAAGGCTAAGACTTCCAATACTATGTTGAGTTAACAGTGGCGAGAGTGGACATCCCTGTCTTGTTTCTGATCCTAGGGGGAAAGCTCTCAGTTTTCCCCATTGAGGATGATATTAGCATTGGGTCTTTCATATATGGCTTTCATGATCTTGAGGTATGATCCTTCTATCCCTAATTTCTTAATGGTTTTTATTAAGAAAGGATGCTCTATTTTGTCAAATGCTTTCTCTGTATCTATTGAGAGGATCATGTGGTTCTTGTCCTTTCTTTTACTGATGTGATGAATCACATTGATTGTTTTGCGGATACTGAACCAGCCCTGCATCCCAGGTATAAATCTCACCTGGTCGTGGTGAATAATTTTTTTAATGTATTGTTGGATCTGGTTGGCTAATATCTTGTTGAGGATTTTTGTATCCATGTTCATCAGGGAAGGAAACCCTTATTTTTTCCACGGTATTTCAGTAATGGTAAAAGTAAGGAAAACAATTACCTCAACCTCTTTTTCAATTTTACTATTCTAAAATGGCTCTATGAACATGTAGCAGATATAAAATAAAATATAATAAATTTTATAAATCTATTCAGCTTCTAACAAAGTTTGCTTTAGTGTTCATTTTCCCTTAAGATTATAAAAACATTTCCCTTAGATAAAATAAACAGTATCCTTTCACTAGCAAGGCAAAGTAACTGGAGTCCTTTCTCAGATTAAATTACTTCCTTTAATTAAGTTATACACTTACATTTTGCCAGCTGCTGGTGCAAATTATTCAGTGTGTTCATCAGATTTTTACATGGTTTCTTTGGAAGTATCTTCCAAGCTACATTTTTCTTGTCACCAGTTCTGAGATTAAATGACAACAACAATGTATTTGTTAGATGTTTTTTTTTTTTTGCTATATATATAAAAGGTAAAAGAAAACACATATTGAATAAAAAATAAAATACATAAGTACAAAATATATGTACATATATACAAAAATAAAATATTATAATAAGAGAAAAATACTACAAGGATAAACTGGGATGCAGAATATTTAAAAATTAACTCACACAAGAGTAGAACCTTATACAAATATAGCGCAAAAAATTATAATTATGTTGGTACTGGGTAAATTCTACTTGCAGTGGAATCATGCTAATCACTACAAACTTAATATGGTGGTCATTATTCTCAAACCCCATTTAAGAGTCCCTAGACACCTCAATACTGAGAAAATCCTAGGAACAGGAGGTTTTTTTCTTATAGACTCTGACTCTAAGAACAAGCACTGTGGAAAACTTGCACTTATAAAGACAAAATGAACTGAGGATCCAGAAAGCTTATCAAAATACTGCGGTATATTTAAGTATTTAGTTTCTTAGTTTCCTAAAAGCGGAAGTAAAATTTGCTTTCGTTTCTTTCAGAAAATAACTAATCCATGATATTAAATTATTTGAGCAAAGGATAATACTCCAAAGTACTTTTATAACTATAAAAGAGGATATCTGCTTGAAAGTGCTATCTTTGTTTCTACAACAAACTCCTATAATCTCTTTTATTAAAATTATTAGGACACAGTTGTTCTTCCAACCACACGTGCAGTAAAAAAAGAGCATGGTGATAAAATACAATAAACCTTTTGGACTTCACGATAGCTTTTTTGATTCCATTCTTTACTTATTAAATCTTTCTTTGTACTTCAGAAGCCATATATATATTTTTTTAGAAAACTTGAGGGGCGCCTGGGTGGCGCAGTCGGTTAAGCGTCCGACTTCAGCCAGGTCACGATCTCGCGGTCCGTGAGTTCGAGCCCCGCGTCGGGCTCTGGGCTGATGGCTCAGAGCCTGGAGCCTGTTTCCGATTCTGTGTCTCCCTCTCTCTCTGCCCCTACCCCATTCATGCTCTCTCTCTGTCCCAAAAATAAATAAAAAACGTTGAAAAAAAAATTAAAAAAAAAAAAAAAAAAAAAAAAAAAAAAAAAAAAAACTTGAAAAATGTAGAGAAAAAGGAGAAGAAAACTGAATCACTCATGTACTAACCACCAAAAACAACACAGCACACGTGTGTAGTGGAAGTTGAATTTATTTTTCTGTTCCCTGTACTTCCCACAGAACAAAAAGGGCAAAATCATCACCTTGGAAACCAAGCAAAGAAAAAGGAGTGGATGGGAAAGCTTAGGCTAAAAAGAACCACTATCTTGGAATCTACCCTATCTTTCCACAAATGAGGATAAAAATACAGATAGATGGAACAGGGCCACCTGCAGATGTCCCACTGCGAAGGTTTTATTTTATAATGTGACCGGGAGCACGGAATCCTGCATTACAGTGAGAAGACAATGTAGAACACTTTTTACATTATTTTCTGGATAAAACTTTGCAACACAGCACTCCCACTGTACTTTATCATTCACTGTGTGCATGCTGGCCTTATAAAACTAAATTATGAGCAACTTCAGAGAAAGAAGTGTACACTTAAGTGTACTTAAGAGAAAGAAGTACACCAAGTTGTCTTTTTATTTCCAGTGCCTATCAAAAAAGGGTGCTGAAGATAGATGAACAGAATCTTGGTGTCCATTCATTACACCTAATTACTGTTATTTACTCATGTTTTTACTCATGGTGATTCCCAAAATAACCGATAATCGGTGGCAGAGGAATTAGTTTTAAACCTGGATGGTGATGGTTCCAAAATCTAGCAGGCAGTAGATGCTATGTGCCCCTTCTGATAAATTACTTAAAAATCTAAGCTTTGGGGGTGACTGGCTGGCTCAGTAGAGTGTGTCACTCTTACTCTTGGGGTTGTGAGTTTGAGCCCCAAGTTGGATGTGGTGATTACTTAAAAATAAAATCCAGGGGGCGCCTGGGTGGCGCAGTCGGTTAAGCTTCCGACTTCAGCCAGGTCACAATCTCGCGGTCCGTGAGTTCGAGCCCCGCGTCGGGCTCTGGGCTGAGGGCTCAGAGCCTGGAGCCTGTTTCTGATTCTGTGTCTCCCTCTCTCTCTGCCCCTCCCCCATTCATGCTCTGTCTCTCTCTGTCCCAAAAATAAATAAACGTTGAAAAAAAAAATTAAAAAAAAAAAATAAAATAAAATCCAGAAATTCTGGATAAAGGAAACTAGAAAGCTGTTAGTTCACCTGCTTCGTCCTTCCATACATTTGGAAGGGTGATAATATCAAGAAGGAATACTACTAATGAGTGCCAACAACTCATGTTTTCTTTGACTCTTTAACTCACTAGCGATCAAAAGAAAAACACAAAATTAAAAAAATTCTTTTAACAAACCGGAAGGAAAGTATAAAAAGAGGGAAAATGTAATTTATTACCATAATAAATACAGTATATACCAATTCACCACCCTGAATTTCAATTTTTAAAAATACTATGTCATTGGGGTTGCCTGGGTGGCCCAGTTGGTTAAGCGTCTGACTCTTGGTTTTGGCTCAGGTCACGACCTCATGATTCATGAGTTTGAGCCCTGTGTAGGGTTCTATGCTGACAGTGCAGAACCTGCCTGGGATTCTCCATCTCCCTCTCTCTCTGCCCCTACCCTCCTCATGCTCTCCCCAAAAATAAAAAAAAATAAATGAAAAAAAATTATGTCATGTAACATCAACAACTGGCCAAAAAAAAAAAAGATAATACTTTAATATCTAAAGAATTAAATATTCCTGGTAATGAGTGAAATGTTCCTGATAAAGAATATTAGACTCTATCAATCCCATGTATAAATGGCTTTTATGCACAAAGTACATCCCATATTTACTTGGTTAGGCATTCTCTGAAAAAAAGCTTTTTGACAGCGTATATACTTTATAATAGAAAAGTATTCAGGGTGCCTGGCTGGCTCAGTAGGTTAGGTGTTCGACTTCAGCTCAGGTCATGATCTCACGGTTTGTGAGTTGGAGCCCTGCATTGCGCTCTCTGCTGTCAGCGCAGAGCCTGGTTGGGATCCTCTGTCCTGCTTTCTCTCTGCTCTTCCCCTGTACACTTGCGCACAGGCATTCTCTCTCTCTCGAGTGTAAACCTTAAAAGAAGTATTTTTTTGCTGTAATATATTATCATTTTATATTATTTTTATATTATCTATTTAATAGAACACCATCTTTTCTAATGGTTTAGGCACTTGAGGTTTTGACATACGTGACAAGACTAGAATTAATGTAAGGTTAGAGAATTTAATCAAACCACTTTAATATGAAACACGCTTAGTAAAAATGGAGAAGAACCTATTGCACATATACATATTTAAGTTGTAAAAGGTGTACTAGCTTTTGGTCTTTACTAACAGACTAACTTGTAGTTATTGTAAGTATGTCCTGTGAATGCAGTGTGTTCAGTGCATCAATTTCCTTTTCCCTGAATAGCATAAGTATGATTCAACTGAAAATAAGGGATATGAGCAAACAACTGAATTATAAAAAAACTATGAAAAGATAGCTCCAGTAGCTACAACTTAAATATTATTCCAATAAAAAGAGAGGAAAACTTATAAAACCCTTATATTCTAAAAGTATAAAGGTGATAAAATCATTTATAAATTAAAAGTTATTTAATTTTTTTTGAAGTACTAGTGTACTAATAGTATTACACAAGACTAGAAACAGAATTGGAATACTATACCTTGGTATACCAAGGTATAGTATTCCGATTCAATTTGTGATTTCACCTGTACTTATCTGGAAAATGGTAAATAAATTTTTGTTTTTTTTTTTAATGGTTATTTATTTTTGAGATAGAGAGTGCTAGCGGGGGAGGGACAGAAAGGAAGGGGGACAGAGGATCCTAAATGGGCTCTGCACTGACATCAGTGAGCCCACTGCAGGGCTTGAACTCACAAAAATGTGAGATCATGACCTGAGCCAAAGTCAGACACTCAAATGACTGAGCCACCCAGGCGCCCCTAAATTTTTCTGTTTCTAAGCTCCATTTCCCTTCTGCTAAATTTCTACATAAGATTATAATGTTTCTTAAATATTTAAAGATCTGAGGATTAAAGGTATAATTTCTTTACAGTACAAGCTCTCTAATACCCTAAATCTATTCCATTGGAGCATAGAACGGGTTGATTCAAAGATGGTATAATCCCAAAACAAAAACAATATAGCTCAAAAGAATTCTAATTCGCATTCAAAAAATATACAATTACATACATATAATACGAAGTTGTAAATTACTGAGTAGAGAATCACTAAAATGTACTTACTGAGAAATGGTGTTGGTGTCTAGGTCAACACAACTGACATCTGGTGGAGGGTCATAGAGATCAAAGTATCTTGAATCAATTCCTACTATGAATGGACATGGTGCACTCAAGACATCTGCTAAAGCCAGTGGGCAGAGAGGAACATATGGGCATGGCCAGTGGAAAGGGAAAATCATCTTGGATAAACAAAAGACAGGAGAATATTTACCTGTTTTGCATTGAAGCATAATTTATCAGCACACACAAAAAACTGTATTTAATATTCATACCTAAAGCCTAACACTTGATAACCAGTGAAATAATTACAACTAATATGAAGTGTCAGAAAATTAAAATTGTTTTCACAACATAAAAATTCATTACTCTCTGAATTTTAGTTAGGCTTTTAAAAAGTAGCTTTAAATTAGATGAATCAATTATGCTTAAAATGAAACTGACTGCCAATGACAAAACCTGTAATACTCACAGACACTAATGCTTCTGTCACACTAGTAAGCACGGAAGGGCGTAGGGAATGGATGAGAATCTTATGTTCTGTTACTGCAAACACAAGTAGTGTCACAGCATTTTCAGGGCCTAAATTTTGAAGTAGTGTTGAAAACTTGCCACCACTGTCAATCCAAACAAAAATATATAATTAAAAATATATATATTCAAATATCTCATTATCCAAAATAATGAAACAAGGTCATGATTGGGTTAGGATTATATTATATATTCAACTTTAGACGCGCTTGCTGTCCTTACGTGTGGAAAACATTAGAAATATACTATGAAAACAATGAAGTTTTCTGAGGTTTCAAAATCATCAGATTTTTCTACAGTGTATTCAATATGGAAAAATGAAAAGTCATTCTTTTTTGCAGAAAAAGATCTGCTGGGTAGATAATGTCCAAATAAAGGACTCAATCTATAGAGGGATGCTTTAGTTGAAAGCAAATTTTTTAATGAAATTTTTGTTAAATGGCTCACCTTTCATTGTTAATTGTCAGAAAAAATATGACTTACAGGCCCACCTCCCTTAAGGCAAGCACATACATTAAGATTTGGATTTACAAATAGATTATCTTTACTATTGTAATGAAAAGAGTAATATGAAATTGAGAGGTACGAAGTGATGGTATATACATACAAAGCAAATTTATACCACATTCTGTGTGGTAACAAAATACTGGACTAAGTAATTCAGTAAGCCAATCAGTATGTTGTCTATATAATTGGCTAAATAATTGGCTTCACCAAATTAACTTTTTTATTTTTTTTATTAAAAAACTTTTTAAATGTTTGTTTATTTTTGAGAGAGAAAGAGACAGAGTCAGAGTGAGGGAGGGCAGAGAGAAAGAGAGAGAGAGAGGGATTACTGTCAGCACAGAGCCCAATGCGGGACTCGAACTCACAAATCTAAGATCATGACCTGAGCTGAAGTCGACGCTTAACTGACTGAGCCACCCAGGCGCCACTTAACTTTTTTTTAAATAAAGCAAAACTAGTAACAATTCTCTTGGAGAAAGGAAAACACATCCACAAAAAACTTGTGCACGTTGGTAGCAGCATTATTCATTGTAGGCAAAAGTAGAAACAACCCAAATGTCCCTCAACTAATGAATGAATAAATAAAAAGTGATCTATCCATACAATGGAATATTTGTTGGAAACAGAAAGGAATAAAATATAACATGGATGAACTTCAGAAACATTATAATAAGTGAAAGAAGCCACACACAAAAGGCTACATATTATATAATTCCATTTATATGAAATCTCCAGAATAGGCAAATCCGTAGAGATAGAAAGTTGATCAGTGGTTGCCTTAGGCTGGAGAGGTGGGTTTGTCTGTGCACACACACACGTGTGTGTGTGTGTGTGTGTGTGTGTGTGTGTGTGTGTATTTGCATGAGTAGAAATGGCAGAAATTCTTTTTAGAGCGATGTAAATGTTGTTTATAGTGATCTCCATATATCTCTATTCACAGAGTGAATATAAGCATTGAATTGTACAATTTAACTGGGTGAATTGTACAGTATGTGAATTATATCAATAAAGCTGTTACCAAAATAAAAAAAAAAAAGGCCTCTTGGGTAATTTAGGATCTTTTTATACATAGTCACAGTCAGTATTTCTAGTTTATTTTTCACTCAAACAAAGGTTAAGAAAACACTGGTTGCTCTGGACTGAGACCTAGTGATGAAATAATCTGCAATTCTTACAAAATTAATGTCAAAGATGGCAGCTGGTCTCCCTCAGGTATGTGCTACAAAATAACTTAATTATATTGTAATGATTTCTCTGCTAGAAAACTACACTGCTAATTAAATTTCAAGAACTGATACTTTAGAAAAAATTTATTTCATAATTTCTTGGAACTTTTAAGGGATGAAATACATTATTTTATTCCATGGTTAGTATTTATGAGTACCATTTTATTAGGGGGTTAAATTTAAAATTAATTACGTTTGAATGTTCTTCAGAGGGTATTTAAAGTTAAAAACCATTGTTTCCATAATCTATATACACATATACTTATTTATGCAATAATAAGTACTTGATAATAAATGGATACACAAAATACCAAACTATTGTAAAGGTTTTTCTTTTTTCTTTAAGTAAAAGGAATTTAGATAACAAACAATTAAATAAGAAGTCTTTCCATCAACATTTGCAATTTTTCCTAGGAAAGAGAAAATATTTGAATGTCACTTTAGCTCGCACTAGATTTAGAGAAACATAAATAGAAAGGAAATTCTACTTGCCTTAGTGGAAGAGGTGAAGAAACAGGTTGACTGAGAATCAGATTATCATGTGGTGATAACTGGAAGAAGATTTACAATAAAGTGCTTGAAATATAAAGATGAGCTTTAAAACACCACTTTCTGGTAAAAAAAACTTTTTTGGCTAATGCTGACATCCATCAAGTTTCAACATAACCATTAACCTGTATAGGAACTGTTTATATCACTTAATAAGATCTTGAAAAGTACATCCTAACCACTGACCTAACTACTAACTTCCCCTACTCTGAATTCTCTTTTCTCCTGTTCCTCAATGTTCCCCTAATGTCATTTTAACAAAATTTTATTGGGAGACTAAATTATTCATTTAGTACCACAGAGTCAGGGCTAGTAAACCTATATGGTCTCCAGGGCAAATCCACAGGCCATCTGTGTTTATAAATAAAGTTTTATTGGAACACTAGCCATGATCAATTGTTTAGGAATTATCTATAGCTGCTTTTGTGCAATAACAGAGACAGGATGGCCTATAAAGACTAAAATATGTACTGTTTGGTCCTCAAAAGAAAAATTTACCAACATATATATGTGTGTGTGTATATCCTGGCACTAAATATCAAGAAGAGAGGGAGGATATGTGGATATACAGACTGATTATAAAGATTACAAAAATGACTTTTTTTCTAGACATTTTATCTGTATCAATATAATAATGCAATTATTTTTATCTACATTTTCAAATTTATGCACATTTCCACAAATTTGTAAATACCTATTTGCCAAATACTTCTAATTTTGAATGACACCGCACTCCCATTAAGGGTTGTGATAAATACAGTAAGGCACATATAGTGATAACACATAAAAATATTTTCTTTATATAAATCACTTTGTAAATGGTGACTAAATAAGCAGATATCTTACAAATCAAGACCATAAACAAGAAATGTAAACAAAAGAGAAAAGATAGTCAATTGGGAAAAGAGGGAAAAAAACTATTCATTTTGAACTTCCCCATCACAAAGATATAAACACTTCTCCCTGCATAATATATGAAAGCACACCACTTTTTCTTCTATCTATTCTAAAAAAAAAAGAAAAAAATCTGTACACACAGACACACACACACACACACACACACACACACACACACACACACACCCCTTTGGGAATAAATGCCAAAGACAAAAACTTTCAGTTACCTATAACAAATTTAGGGAAAGAAGTCCCTTTTGGTGTGTTCAAAATGTCTACTGTTGTCTACTTTAACTCTTCAACCTTTTACCTAAGGGGAAACATTAGATGTCTGTCTGGGAGACAATTAATAAAACAATAAGGGCCCAAATTCCAACATGAACTACCATCTGGTTCTCATTTGATCTTTTCCTCCATTTAAAATTGTTATTCTTATGGTACATTTTGACAGGGCTAATAATCATTTAACAAGGCACTTACATCAAGAAAATCTTACCTGAACTAAAATCCGCGGCCTCTGAGGAGATGGAAAAGGAACTTTATGCATAAAATGAGAAATATGCCTTAAAAACAAACAGACAAAAACCCAATTGATTCCAAAGTGAACACCATATACTATAAAGGTCAGCATGTCACCACAAGTCCAAGTTGAGTCAAATGCTCTGTGTACTTATAATTTCGAAATCCCTGGTGCTAAAAAAACAAGTGAACAAACTCCAAAAATCATTTGTCCCATTAAAGTTGCTTCTACCTAACTCCAGTGGCTTTTCATATGAATAGTTCCTCAGGTTCAACAATGTTTGTGTTATCAACATCTCAAAAGCCAGTTTAACTTTTACCTCTTCCTCAGTAGATAATATACAACATATTATGTGGACAGCGATCAAAGAACTTAATGATTGTTTTGTTGTTGTCACAGAATGCCATTTTTCCTTGAAATAACAATTGATAAAGTTATCCAATGTTAGGTATTCAGCAAATTTTTTCTACAAAAAAATGAATAAGGTGAGCCTATTGCTTCAAGAAAAATAACTCATAAGAGCTCCTGGCTGGCTCAGACAGTGAAGCGTTATGACTCTGAATCTTGGGGTTGTGAATTCAAGACTCACATTTGGTGCAGAGATTGCTTAAAAATGAAATCTTTAGGGAAGCCTAGGTGGCTCAGTCAGTTAAGCATGTGACTTCAGCTTAGGTCATGATCTCACGGTTTGTGAGCTTGAGCCCTGCATCGGGCTCTGTGCTGACAGCTCAGAGCCTGGAGCCTGCTTCAGATTCTGTGTCTCCCTCTCTCTCTGTCCCTCCCTTGCTTTCACTCTGTCTCTCTAAGAAATAAAATGAAAACATTAAAAAAATTTTTTAAAAATGAAATCTTTAAAAAAAAGAAAAAGAACTCATAGTATTATTGCCAGTAATTCAATTCAATTCTAATTCAATAAATAAAATTTTAAGTGAAAATCTAATTTTGCCACCATGTACTTGATAACTTCTTGATACTGAAAACATTTTTCTGATGAAATAGGTGGTTCTATTAACAAATGAAATTTATCTATGTTAAACGCCATGAACTGGTATTTCCAAATGACCAACGTATGATGCTACAAAACCATGCATGTGTAAAAGTTCCACTTAGAGTGAGAAAAATCAATAGATTTTAATGTATCAGAAAAAGTCCATTACTAAAGCTTTAGAGTACACACTGTGAATAACCTATAACAAACTTCACTTGTCAAATTTGGGGCAGTGTCAAAGCAGAAATTCCACACAATTTTCTGAAAAGGCTATTCGAATACTCTCCCTTTTCCTACCTACATACCTGTGTGAGGCCAGGTTTTTTTCATATACTTTTACCCAAACAGCATATTGCAACAGATTGAATGCAGAGGCATCCATGAGAACCTAGCTGTGTTCAATTAAGCCAGACATTAGAGATTTGCAAAAATGTAAAAAATGACTTTTCTCACTAATTTTTTTTAAAAGAGTTATTTAAAAAAAATACTTGTTAACATGTAATTATTTTAAAATGTAAATATTTTCTCTATTTTAATTTCTATTGTAGCAATTATTGGCAGATATAACACATAAAAAAAGTTCTTCAGGGGTCCTCATTTTTTAAGAGTATAAAAGGGTCCTGACACCCAAAAAAAATTTGCTAACTGCTAGAGCAAAATACTGAGATGAGAGTGAAAAAGAGTAATATTGTACACTGGATGTTCTTATGATAATTCTATCACTTCCCAACAATCACTGAACAACTTCTTAACAATACAAAAGAGGTGGGGCACATGGTTGGCTCAGTCAGTTAAGCGTCTGACTTCAGTTCAGGTCATGATCTCACGGTTTGTGAATTTGAGCCCTGCATAGGGCTCTCTGCTGTCAGGGCAGAGCCTGCTTCAGATCCTTAGTCTCCATCTCTCTGCCCCTCTCCTGCTCTCTCTCTCTCTCCCTCCCTCTCAAAAATAAACATTAAAAAAAAAAAATACAAAAGAGTTTAAGTGACAGATGGTATAGAATAAATAACCAAATAGGCATGAAGATATTTGGATCTCATTTGCAACAGACCTTATTGCATAAAACATTATTCACTTTTAGTGATTTTAAGGTAAATCACTGAATTTTTACAAAGAATAAAGAATGCATTTATCTAATTTTTTCTTTAAATTCATGATGTCTAAAAGTAGTAGGGAATATTTTTAAAAGTTCATGATAAATCCAAATTATTTGGAAAATAAGAATTCCAAAACCAGCAAAAACAAACAAAACAAAACAAAACAAAACAAAACAAAACAAAACAAACCAGTTAGGATCTCCAAACTTCACAAGAGCATCAAAAAATGAAATATTCATTTCATTCTGTTAGAGATATATTTAAAATAATGTGGCTGTAAAAGTATAATAGAGAAATATTACCTAATTGAAATAACCAAATTCTTTTTTTCAAATAACTCTTGAGAAATCTAGTTTCTATATAAAATTTACTGAATTACCAGTTCAAATATACCACACATAATGGAATTATCTGCTAAATTTTGAACCAAGAAGGATTCTGACTTACTTCTCAATTGGAAGGACATGAGGTCCAGAGATAGAATAACGATACAGAAAAGTCAGAAACTTCCTGAATGCGTCAAAAAAAGGCCAGTGAGAAAGAAGACAGATGCATTTATTAGTGTGAATTGTTTTGGAACTATCAGATTTCCCATCTGCTGATGATGCTAAACCCAAGAGAAGTCTCTGTTTTTCTGTGAGATTTTCCTCAGAGTATGGTTCATAAAACTGAATAGCAGCACCATAGACCTGGAAAACAAGAAATATATTTAATAAATACACCTCATATCATTTATCCAAATCATATCATTAAATATTTAATGGAGGAGCCATTACGAGCTAGGCCATTAAAAGCCTTTTAGATGCCCATGAGCCAGGCAAGGTGCCAGGTAGCAGGAACACAGTGGTGAACAAACATCTCTCTTGGTTTCTCGGAGTATGTTTAAAAAAATAAAAAATAAAAAAACAGAAAACACTACACAGTGCTACTCTCACATCTCATTATTGAAAAAAAGATGTTTCAATTAAATCGAGTTTGTTTTCTGAAGAGTGAAAGCAATTGAATCAATATTCTCTATAACAAAATGACTGAAAATTATTATTTAGTAGACAATGGGACAGAATTTTAGACAAGGAAATATATATTCCAACTTCAGGCAATTCACTAAATTTCTCTGTACCTCAATTTCCCAATCTATAAAATGAGGATGTTAGACTAAATGATTTCCAAGGTCTTTTCCAACTATCATAGTCTATGATTCTGAATAGCTTTGCATATATAATAATGTCTTTTGTATTACTCTCAAAGCATCTGGTTGACACAAAATGAAGCAATGAAAGATCATCATTTGATGATGAAAAAAAAAAATCTTTTACCATATTCACAAAAAAGCACTGGGGTGTATGGGACAGAATGAAATTTCTCTTTTCCTTTATCTCTGAATATAGTTATTTTAACCAAGTGGAAGAGGTATGTGTAATAGATTCAATTTAACCAGTTTTTTTTTTTCCTACTGTTCCTTACATTATATAAAACTTAAGACCTGAAAATGTACAAGAGGGGCACTTGGGTGGCTCAGTCGGTTAAGCGTACGACTCTTGGTTTTGGCTCAGGTCACGATCTCTCAGTTTTCTGAGTCTGAGCCCTGCATCAGGCTCTGTGCTGGCAGTATGGAGCCTGCTTGGGATTTTCTCTCTCTCTCTCTCTCTCTCTCTGCCCCTTCCCTACCCATGCTGTCTCTGTCTCTCTCAAAATAAATAAACTTAAAAAAAAAAAAAAAAGAAAATGTACAAGAAATTTGTCGACAGTTGTTAAAACACACAGTACCTTTTCAGCTGAGGCTCCAGTTAACACAAATGTAGAAAAAACAGGGAGAGGGTATTTGCTATTTGGTGGCCAACATTCAATAGTTGCACCCATTGGTAAACAAAATAGGGGAACAGATTCTGGGAGTGAGAAAGACTCATAATCTTCTTGAGGATATCTACAAATTAGACCTATAAAAACAATAATAAATATTAGGTCATCATCTCTTGAATTCAGGTACTCAAAATCTGAATGATGCTAAAATGTTTTATAACTACTTAACATTATATTACATACATATTCATCAAATAGCTCTGAATGCTTCAGTAGAATACATCCAGATTTTTATCTTCAAACATTATAACTATTCATAATAACTAATTAATATTTATCAAGCTTCATCCATGAAGGCTAAGTAAGACAAACAAGAAAAGATCATGCTAAAGAAACATACACAGGTACAAACACAATCCTAAAACTTTAGTTTGTGGTCATACTACCTTGAAGCAAGTGAAAAACTCGTTTTTTGAAATTTTCAACACGGTTACCCATCTTCTTTTAAAATCAATCTTCCATTGAGTATCCAATAAATTTAAGGATGAGACAAAACAGAAAAAAAAAACCCCATGGGTTGTGGTGCCAGTCCTGACACTAATACATTATAAGATTTCTTTTTCCTTAAATTTTACTAGCCTTCATAATACATGTATATATTAAGTATTCCATGAAAAATTATACTTACCAGCTTTGTAAGATATAGTGTTAGTCTTTGCCACTGATTTTTTATAACATAAGTACACTGCTGATCCCCACTGAATCAAAAAAAAAAAAAAAAAAAAAAAAAAAAAAGGAAATATCATTTAACTTTAAAAGGTAGTAACTTAATAAAATGGACTCTTTGATATCTCCAGTACATATTATCTAAGATGTAGTAACAGATTCCTGTTAGGTATTTTCAGTTGGTTATTTTGTCATCATTTTATCAGAGTTTTTGCCCACTTTTCCTTCAGAAGTAATATTTCATGTTTTTTTCCCCACTGTAACAGCAATAATATGAGGAAAATTTGACTGTTTAAAATAATTAAGTCATGACAATTTAGATTTTATTCCAACTCCAAACTTTGGGCAGAACTGATTAAGAAATATCTAGGGGCGCCTTAGTCGGTTGAGTGTCCGACTTCGGCTCAGGTCATGATCTCACAGTCTGTGAGTTCGAGCCCCGCGTCGGGCTCTGTGCTGACAGCTCAGCACAGATTCTATGTCTCCCTCTCTCTCTGACCCTCCCCCGTTCATGCTCTGTTTCTGTCTCAAAAATAAATAAACATTAAAAAAAAAAAAAAAGAAATATCTACCCATGGGTATACCTTCCTTTAGATTCCACAGCCTCTTTCTATGGCTCTTTATACCAAAACTTAAGAGTTATAATTTCCTATATCTGTTTCCGTGTTTCCCATTCTCTCCTGAATCCATTCCCAATCAGGTTTTAATCGCACCATTCCTTAAAAGAACAATTTAACAACTTTAATGATGCCAAATTTAACAGTTGATTCCTATACTACATCTTCTCCAACCTCTCAGCAGATCTGGACAGCACTAATGACTCCCAAAACATGTTCTCCTCTTTTGAGGCATCACATTCTCCTGGTGCCTTCCCACCAAACCTCTGGCTACTCCTCAGTCTCCTCCTCCCTTTTTCCCTGATCATTAAATGTGATCTCTTCTTTCCTTTTCTTTCTGTGAATGATCTCATACATTTAGTCCCATCGTTTTGTAGAATAGCTACTCCCAAAGGAGTCTCAAATTTCTAGTCCCAGATGCAACAGAGATGGGGAAGACTGTGGATAAAGCAGACTTGGGGGTTGGGGGTGAAGAAAAGGAGTTCAGTTTTAGACATAAGTTTGAAACATCTATTAGACATCCAAGTGAAGTATCAAATAGAGCTCAAGTGAGGTCTGAAAAGAAGATGTGACTTGGGAGAGTTGCTACTTGACATTAGATGATGACAGATACATGCACACAGACACTCCCTTACCTCCTCTGGGCTCAACTCCAAACAACACTTCATCAGAGAGCCCTTCCTTCATCACCTTATATGCAATAACAATCTTCCCTCTACCTTCTCCCGTCTTCCCTATCATCCCATCTTGCTTTCTTCTTCCTCCACAGCACTTACTACCACTCGGCATATTGTATATTGTCTTACTTATCAGTGCAAAGCCCAAAACGGGGCTCAATCCTATGACCCTGGGATTATGATCTGAGTCAAAATCGAGTTGAGCCGAATGAGGTTTAAACCTACTGAGCCACCCAGGGACCCCAGGATTTTATTTTTAAGTAATCTCTACACCCAACTTGGGGTTCAAACTCACCACCCTTAGATCAAGAGTCACATGCTCTACTGACTGAGCCAGCCAGGCACTCTATAAGTTAAACATTTAAAGCATTTCCAGAACAATGGTTCCTCTTTCTTTTTGCTGAACCTTGTGTGTGAAAAACTTCAGAAAACCCTTTTAGTTTTGATATCTGTGGTTCTTTTCCTCCAGAGTCCCATAACTTTTACTGTTATATCCAAGTCCTTGTTTTTTATTTTTGAATATTCCTTTTGTTTTCTGCCATATTCAAGTGGTCATATAGTTCCCTTCTTATCATCACAAAGGTTATCATTGAGGGTTTTTTGTTATCTTGAAAAACTGGTTTATTGGGAATTGGAGTTGGGACTTATCAATAGAAAGTCTTATTTATACATTTGTACACATCTCAGAAACTAAAAGCCTAGTTCGCCTACATTCATAATATCCACTTGACTTTTATACATCCATTCTTTTGACGCAAAAATACCAAACCATTTATAAAAACAAAATGCCAGCACGGTAATGAGGATAATTTAATGTCGTGAGCACAATTTAACATACTGGTCTGCTGGAGACATATGAAAAATATTTAGGAAAGCAAGAAAAATTTTTAGATGAAGAGTCAACATATTGCATCATTGTTCATAATAGATCCTCCCCGCAAAAGGGAAACAATCCAAGTGTCTATCAGTAGGTGAATAATTAAAATAAACTGTGGTTCATTTATTAATGAAATACTTTCCACTGGTTCAGATGAAGAAATAAAATCTGTATCAACTTTACTAATTTTCAAAAACATATTAATGAGTTAAAAAAAGCAAATCACAGAAGAATATATTCAGTATATCACCATTTATGTGAAATTTAAAAGTACACAAAGTAATAATATTTATTTATAGATGTATAGTAGAAAGTTTTTAAATACATGTGAATGAAATGCACTAGCTTCAGGCTAGTTGTTAACTCTGGAGGACAGAAAAGGATGGAAGATGAGGCTTTGGCTAAACCTGTAAATTTTTTTTTTTTTTACAAATTAAAACATTTGAAGCAAATATGTTAAATTGTTTACATTTGTTAAATATAGGGGATGAGCACAGGGTGTTATAGTAGTCTCTGTTTAAAATTCCTTTTTAATGGCTATTTATTTTTGAAAGAGAGATAGAGCACGTCAGGTGGTGGGGGGTGCAGTGGGCAGAGAATCCCAAGCAGGCTCTGTGCTAACAGCAGCAAGCCCGACGCAGGGCTCGAACTCATAAACCGTAAGATCATGACCTGGGCTGAAGTCAGACACTAAACTGACTGAGGCACCCAGGCACCCTATTATAGTAGTCTCTTAATTACTAGAAACATATCTTAAAGTTGGGGCACCTGGGTGGCTCAGGTGGTTGGGTGACTGACTCTTGATTTCAGCTCAGGTCATGATCTCACAGTTTGTGAGACTGAGCATGGCATCAGGCTCTGTGCTGACAGCATGGAACCTGCTTAGCCTCCCTCTGCCCCTCCCCTCTGCTTGTACTTGCTCTCTCTATATAAAAAAATAAAGATACTAATAATAAAATCAAATAAATGTTTAACTTATAAATTCAGTACCCATTTGTGGTACACACTTTCAGATGTCTTTTTTTTTTTTTTTTTTTTTTTTTTTTTTTTTTTTTTAGGAAATAGGTACATGATTTAATTACTTGCTTAGTTACTAACTCTACTTTTCTAAACAATCCTGATAAATCTTTTTTTTTTAATGAACATTCTTTTTTTTTTTTAACGTTTATTTATTTTTGAGAGAGTGAGCAGGGGAGGAGCAGAGAGAGAGGAGGACACAGGATTTGAAACAGGCTCTGTGCTGACAGCCTGATATGGGGCTTGAACTCACGAACTATGAGATCATGATCCGAGCTGAAGTTGGACGCTCAACTGACTGAACCATCCAGGCTCCCCTCAAATATGAACATTCTTAAATGGTTGTAAAACAAAAGCCATTTGGATATAATATTTAAAAAAATACTCTCGATGAGTCAAAAACTGAGGAGATGGTCACAAATTTGCCAGAAATTAGCTGTGTGAATCAAAGCATCCAGACTAGCAGTTTTCAACCACACGAGCACTTTTTAAGATCTTTTCTGGCTCTAAAATATGCTTCCATTGTAAGTCAGTCAAAGTCTAAATCATTTAAGTCTTACAGTCCAAAACTTGAAAACAAATAGTTCTTGAAAAGTCTTTCCACAAGCTTAATGGGAGGGTGGGGAAGATTCTTTTTGAGGCCAAAGCTATAAGCCTGGTACAAAATATCAGGTAGGAATTTGAGGAAAGATTCACCACACATCTCATGTCCATTACCTTGGTCTTTTGTTTTTTTCCCTGGTTTAGAAACCTGATAGATGACTTTCGTTCAAGCTACCTAACCTTCAAAAACAAGAGTCAGCTACATAACTATTGCTGGGTATTATCAACACATCAATAATTTAATCCCTACCACTTCCTAATTCTTTACATATACATTAGACAGATATGAACATAAGTCTTCTATATTGGATGTTTATTTAAAATTTTCTGAGTTAGAAGTCACTGTACATCTGCTTCAAAGAACAAAATTTGCTTTTACCACCTTATAGTCGATGGAAACAAAGGTTGGTAACAAAAATAAATCACAACCCACTACTTAAAAAAAGACATCAACTGCTAAGATCAGGCAAGTTTTCCTATACTCAGGACTGATATGTGTATGGATAAGAAAATAAACATTTAAGGGATTTTATTCCGGTAATATTTCTTAAAAATTTTAGGAGGAGCTTAAGCACTGGGCAAAAATAAAATTTAAAAGGCTCTTCCTTGGGGTGCCTGGGTGGTTCAGTCGATTAAGCGTCTGATTCTTGATTTCAGCTCAGGTCATGATCTTGGCTCAGGTCATGATCTCATGATTCATGAGATGGAGCTCTGTGTCAGGCTCTGTGCTGAGGGTGCAGAGCCTGCTTGGGATTCTCTTGCTCTCTCTGCCTGCCTCTCTCCCTCTCTCTCTCAAAATAAACATTTAAAAAATTAAATTAAATTTAAAAAGCTCTTCCTTGCTGAATGTCAATTGTATCTCAATTGAAAAAATGAAACGAAAAGCTTTTCCCCAGACATTAAGTATACATAAAAGGGACTGATGAAGCAGAGTTAACCAAATTTATAGCTAATATTTATATAGCACTCTCTGTGTACCAGACAGTATCCTAAATTAGTTAAAAATATTAATTCATTCAATCTTCACAAAAATAAAGTACAACTTTATCCCTATATCGTGAACGAGGAAACTGAGGCACAAAGAATCAAGGAACCTGTCTAATCACATATCTGGATTTCAAATCCACTAGCTTAGGTGGAGTCCATTTCTGTTCACACTGTGTTACATTCCTCTTCCTTCTTTTAGTAGAGAATAAATGCTGACAACATTGGGACCAATGTTTCAGGATAAGAAAACAGAAAATTCCTATCTCCGGGTTCAGTTTCAATGCAGTAAGTATACCTTGAGCACCCTGATTAACTAATAAAACCTAGAAACGGTTCTGATGACATTATCAATTTACTTTGTGTCAAAACCCAACAAATCCACAAAATAAATGGAAAATTCACCAATGGGAAAATGGCAAGTTACCTGTGAGCCTGCATAATCTTGCTAAAATTCCAAACCAAATCTGAAATGATATTAAGCAGGACATTGTATCATAAAAGCTTAAAAACCCTTCTTACGGGGTGCCTGGGTGGCTCAGTCAATTGAGCATCAGACTTTGGCTCAGGTCATGATCTCACATTTCATGGGTTCGAGCCCTGTGCTGACATGGAACCTGCCTGGCATTTTCTCTCTCTCCCTCTTTCTCTGCCCTTTCCCTGCTCATGCTTTCTCTCTCTCCCTCAAAACAAATAAATAAGCTTTAAAAATTAAAAAAAAAACAAAAAAACAAACTCTTCTTGACATCACTATCAATACCACATAAGGCTTGTAAAACTGTTTGCTACCATGATCTTTTTTTTCCATCATAATCTCTCCAACTATCACATGTTATCACCAAATCAAAATAATATGGAAGGATGGCACAAAAGGATAGGGCATTTTGTGTGTGAATGGCTGTTGACAAAAAAAAAATGGTCATCTAATTAGGGGTAACACTGCTGCAGATTATTCTTTTTCGATACAATTTGGATCATGTCAATATCTATTTTTTGAATTACCTATTTAAAAATTTTAAACAAATACTGATACTACTTAAAGTTGCAAGTTTTTCTTAAAGAAAATTTTCTTACAGAATTGAAAGATACAGATAATACACATTTAGTGCTTTCACACATCCCATGTGTACTGGGACACAGTTGTAAATTCATTTAATCATCACAATAACTTAGATGCTATTATCATCCTCACTTTACCATTGTGAAATCGATGCATAGAGAGACAAAGTTACTTGCCCAAAGTCACAGAGCCAGTGTCAGAATTAGGATTCATAGCCAGACACTCTGGCTCCAGTCTGTGCTCTGAACCACTTGGCTATATTGACCTTAACCACTACAACACCAATCTATTTTACTGTCTTACTGAGGGAGTTAAAAATATTTTTCAGGGTCTCAAAATCTGTACTATATCCAGTCACATATCAATACACCCCGGTTCTTCCTCTTCTAGCTTTATCTAAACCTTCAGTGTTTCTCATGTTGCTAGCTTAACAGAAAAGTGAATAATAATTAAAAAAAATCAACTTCCCATAATAAAAACTTAATAAGTATGTACACAATCTTAAATATTGGAGGACCTGAGTGGCTCAGTAGGTTAAGTGTCTGACTCTTGATTTTGGCTCAGGTCATGATCTCACTGTTCATGAGACTGAGTCCCACGTTGGGCTCTATGCTGACACTGAGGAGACTGCTTGGGATTCTCTCTTTTCTTTTCTCCCTCTCTCTCTCTATCCCTACCCGGCTCACACACACTCACTCTCTCTCACTCAAAATAAATAAATAAACATTTAAAAAATATCTTAAATCTCAGCAAAGTATTCATTTACATAGTTATAACAGGACAATGTACATATCTGTTTTGGGATAATTAAGAAATTAAGTTTGAAAATTTGTGATTAAAAATCCAACTATTTACAAAGTTATATTTAAAAAACCCAACTTTAATATTTTGTTGGTAGGATTATAATTGGTTAAGCCTTTCTGGATAAAAATCTTAAAAGTAAAGCTTTGATCTACAAATTTCAGGACATATCATAAGGGAATAATTTAGCAATGCCGTATAGTGTTTAAGAGTTTGGTTCTAGAGTTCTATAGTTTGGGTCCAAATCTTGGTTCACCTGCTTACTGAAGGTATGAATGACCTTGGGCAAACAACCTTTTTAACTCTCAAATTTCCTTCTCTGTAAAATGTGGGTGGGAAACACTACCCAGGGGGTTGTGAATTAACTGAATTAATGGATATGAAATACTCAGAATAGTGAATAGCACATAAGAGCTCAATAAATGTAAATTATTCTATGGAAAATTTAGTTGTGATTATGTTCATAACAGCTTTGCTTATAATATAAATAAATTGAATCTAAATGTCTTACAATAGAAGATGGAATAAATACATTGTCGCAAAATCCATTTAATGCAGTAATATTATGCCATTCAATGCAGTTATATATTAAAATATGCTCAACCTCCACAATAACGAAAGGAATGCAAATTAAAATTAGAATGATTTCTTGCTTTATTAGTCAATAATTAAAAAGCGACTGGTAACAACCATTTTTTTAAAGTAGGCTCCATGTCTAACATGGGGCTTGAACTCATGACCCTGAGACCAAGAGTCACATGTTCTAACTGAGCCAGCCAAGCACCCCAAGGGAAAGGGAATTCTTTTTTTTTTTTTTTT